CAGGCACGCAGCCCCGGCAGAACTGTGCACCACAGGAGGTGGACACAGCCCATCCCTCCCAGAACCACCCGCACGGCCAATGGCAGTGCCACCCTTGGTGCCAGCCCAAGGTCCTGCACCGCTCCTGGGGACGTGGGTCCCCTGCACTCTGCTGCAGCCCTGCCTGTGGAGGAGCAGGACAGCAGCTCCTGGGCACCGGAACCTGCCTCGGCAGGTGAGCTGCCCTCAAACGGAGAGCAGCAGTGCATGCCTGCCATACTGCCACTCCTGTGCTGCCACAGCAGTGTCAGGGACAGCCCAGTGTCCTGCGGCAGTCATGGATGTTTTCGGCACAAGCTGCACAACAGCTTGCAGAAGTGCCAGCAGCCTCCCAGCCCAGACTGTCCCATCTTCCCCTTGGTGACGGCGCTGTGCCCAAGGCTACACTGACTCCCCAAAGCAGCAGCAGAAGGCACTTACCAGCTTTGTCTGGACCTCAGGGTGCCACAGGATGACAGCAGGCCCTTGAAGAGCGTAGATGGGAACACAAGCCTCCCGCCCCTCCCAAATATTTCAAAGGTGTCCGCATCCTGTTCTGTGCTTTGAAGCATGGCAAAATCCCAGGAAGGGCTCTAGCAGAGAGACAGCACCCAAAAGTAGTAATAAACACTCTATTTGGAGAGCTTCACCTTAGGGAAACAGCAGATACATAAACACTGTGTACAGGGGAAGGCAAAACTGTCAGTACACAGACAGGAGTGACACACCGGACTTGGCAGTGCTGGAAATGGATCCCTCGTGGTGTCGATGCACAGCACATCTAGCAGGCACCTGCCCCGGGTACAGCGGGGCGAGAGCTAAGCAGCAGAGATCAGAGTTGGAGGCCATCCAGGGCCACCAGGCGCACAACACTTCCTTCAGTTCATCGCAATTTTCTGCTCATTGATCAGCTTGCAAGGTTTAAAAGGACTCCCTCTGTAGCAGGAGACTAAGGTCAGACCTCAGCAGTGGAGCAAGACTGGAAAACATTAGGAAGGCGGACCCAGACCAGCAGGAGCCTGTCCTAAGGGAAGATGGCAGATTCTGTGCAGGGTGAAGAAAAAGCTCATGCACAGCCTGGAGTGGGGAAGGGAAGGCACTCACTCCAAGCACCGAGATCAGCAACCAGCTCTCTCTCTCCTTGCTTACCCTGACCAGCGCACACCAGATTTTGGAAGTGCTCCTACAACCCGGCTCTCAGCCCTGCGAGGGTGTCAGCTGCTGCCCTGGCACACAACGCTGGGAGTCAGGGGCCTCAGCCCACCCTCCAGCAGCTGCTGGGGCCAAGCAATGGGAGGCAGCAGCTCGGCTCAGCCCACCCTGGCACTGTGGCACGCCCACAGCCATCAGCCATGCTCTTGCCAGCCCCATGGAGCCCCACCAGCCAGGCAAGCCCTCAGAGGGGGCACATCTGCATCCCTCTGCCCCATGGAATGAAAACAGCGGGATGTTTGCCACAGACCAGCAAAGTCTCAGATCCATGGACACTGACACTGGGACAAAGCCATGGGGTGCCTGACTCGGAGCACTGTCACTGAACATGAGGCCAGCCTGACGCACACGGCTCCTGTGGTGGGCTAGCAGAGAACAGGCGATGCCTTAGCTTAAGGCAAAACATCTAAAGAACTCATCCCAAACACCCAACAGTCTCAGATGCCTGCCCTTCCTTCCGGGCCCTTTTCTAACACATCTAGTACATTAGCACCATGAAGAGACCATCAGTCTTAATTTCCAGGTTTGAAATTTAGAACATCCCTTTTCCAGGACAGTACAAATGTGTAAAAACTTTGAAGAGAGGGGTTGGGCAAGTAGTGTTCTAATGAAGGACTAACAAAGGCAGGTTTCCAGAGGATTGGTAGCTTTTTAGTCAGCCAATGATTTGACCAAGTCATACTACAGTTTCCTGCTCTATCTATATTTATTCCCTCTCTTTTCCCTTAAAACCCTCCTTCCCTACAGCATTTTGGTGGTTGATGCTGCACTTCCATGTAGACCCCGACAGAACTAGAGATGAACTCACCCTGCTCTACCTTCCTCTGCTCATTGCACTCAGATGTTTGAGATCTCCACCGCTGCCAAGTTTGGCTGAGATTGGTTTAAGTCACAGGGGGTGAAGACACACATGGTGAATGATCACGTACACCTGTTTCCATAGGAAACCAGGCTAAACAGGTACTTCCTTCCACATGGAAATCCTCAGACCAGAGGGCTGAGCTGTGGGGAGAGCCAGGAGCTCTGACACCTCTCGCAGCCCCCTCCACTCCCACCAGCAGCAGTTTGCACTCCAGAAGCTGCAACCCCTCATTAGACAGACCCAAACAACCCAGCTCAGAACCCACGGCTGCGGCACTGCCAAAGGCTCTAACAGCAAGCAGTGGCTCATGAAATTCTGCACACAAACCTGACCGGAGGAGGCATGGAAAGAAACGCCACACTGCTTATTTCCTATTTTAGGCCTGTACAAAGCCAGGCAACCTGCACTGTGTCCCATCCACGCTGCACAAGCACTGCTCGCCACGGTCTAGGAGCTATCCTCCAGAAAAAGCCACCTCTGAGCAGGGGATGCAGCCCTCCAGGTGCAGGAATCCACTGTTTGCTCTGGTGAGGGAGGAGGTGGCTGCTACCAGCCTGTTGCCAAACCCTCCTTACACCAGATACACACTTCCTCTCACACCACACCCACCTTCACAGGAAGCAATTACACAATGAAAACTACTCTACGGGAGTGAAGTATTTGCTGTCTAGCAAGTGTCTTCCAGCTGGATCCTTTTTCTGACAGATTCAGTCCCCGTTCTGCTCAACGGGTGCATACAGGAGGGTAGGGCTTTGCTTATCCAGAGGGATAATGAAACCATTGTGGGCTGGCAAAGGATGTGCGTTCTTGGGCCACCAACAACTCCAAGAACAGTGCTGCAACTTGCTCTAGAAGTCTTGGCTGAAATAACTGTAGCCTCCTGGGGCAGTTGACTCTTCCCGGACATACTGCTGTGGTGGGAACGGTCCAACAACCGGCACTGCTCCTGGCATCCTGGACATCGAAGGGAGCAAGAGGAAGAGAAGGAAAAAAAAAAGGAGACAATGTCAGAAGTGCTCTGAACTCTGCCAGCTGCAATCACGGCTCAGCAGGCATGGCTGTCAGTGGAGCAACAGCCTACTGCAGCCAAGTCAACAACTTGCCAGAAAAGCTTCCAAGTGCATCCTTGCCCTCCGAGCATGTGTGTAAACACACACCTTTATCACAGCAGAATTAGCTATTGCACAGCTCAAGCACTGTTAAAGAGCTCCCATTACAAAGCCAGTATCCTGCCTCTCTCCAGACTGCAGATGCTGGCCTGGAACACGACCCAATGGCTGAATGCAGAAGCAGCTTTCTGAAAGGCAGTTGGGTGGCTGCAAAAACTCGGACAACATCCATGTCGTTAAAGGGAACGTTTATGCGTGTGTGTTGGGAACATCCTCAATGTCATCTGTCTGCAATGGGACGCTTGCTATTCACTGATCCAGCTGTGCCGTTCAAGAGCCCAAACTTTCCTGGATGATGGATGGAGCATGTGTCTTCCAGTCAAGCACCCAAAGCCAAGCGACCATGGGGCTGTTATTCCCCAGACAAGCAACAAGTGACCCCAGTTTTCTTCCTGTCCTCTCTGGGAAATTTGGCTAGGAGTCTGTCCTCGCTTCAGGCAGGATGTCTCTTTCTTGTAAGAAGCCCTCTAACCAACCCACACTCATTACTGAGCCTCTTTCAGCGAAGGCTTTGAAATTAGAGATCTGAACTTTGACAGTGTCCAGACCAACTATATTTGATATTAATCATCTGGCAGTCTAAATTTTTTTGACTAATAATATATGCAGGGGATGCCATTATTTAACTCACCAGCTGTGAGTGCAAGTTCAGGACTATAGTCTAGGTTTCTGGAGCATGCTGACTACATGCCAAATTTTAAGACAAGCAACCCCAAGAGAGATCAGAATGCCAAGCAGATCTCCACTGAGACAGTCTTTAATTAAATTATCTGGTTTTAGATAAATGGCATTTAACAGGTGTCAGGTTGGACACGCTCACTGCAAAGGTCCACACAAGAATCAAAAGCACCTGCGGAGCCCTTCTACTCCGGCAGCATCCCAGAGCTGTCTGCAGAGGGAGCTGCCGAAGTGAATCTGCTTCAGTACAAACAGCGCAAGCCTGCACAAACCTTGTTGTTCTGCTTGCAAGTCAGCTGGAGATATGCATTCAAACTGCATTTTAAGTTATATTTAAGCCATTGATTTGGTCAGTGAGGCTGGAAACACACTCAGACAAGAACTTACTGATTCTTGTGTTTGAAGCCGCTGATGTGAGCCTGGTACTGCTCTATGGAGTTCAGCACGATGTTACACGTGCTGCAGGGGTAGCCCTTCCCAGCTGAAACAGACATCAATGTTAGCACACACAGCTAGCCAACAACTTGGTGCCTGAGGTAGAAACAAGTGAGATAATCAATCACTGGGTGTTAAACAACTGCTAAACAAAGACAAATAGCAAGTCAATAGCCTGACCAGGCAGGGAGGTCACAGAATCCCACTACCCCACCATGTATCAGCCCGTCACTGGGAATCACTAAGTCAGAAAAGCTTTCCTGATCAGGCCATGGGTTTGTTTATCTATAAAAACAAACACACATTTCCTATCAACAGTTCACAGTATCAGACATAGTAAAACTCTCAGCATTAGGACACCAAACCTGATTTTACACTGCCTTTGCAACTCCATTTCTCTCCCAAATTCCCACTTCTCCCGATCTGTACATCTCATAACAGAAGATGAGGGAGATACTTAATATGTAAGCTTGAAGTGTTTCAATACACAAAAAAGCAGTCAGAGCAGATTACACAAAACTTCCAGCTCCACAATGCACCATTCTGCTAAGCCTTGCTGAGGTGCCAACTGAGAACATTAAGCTCTTTCCTCAAGCAGTTTGATTACAGTCAGTGTATCAGTTAACTGCAAAAAAAAAAAGTTTCCAACAGTAGTTGTACTAGACAGATCAATGGTTTGTGTAACATGACAACTCCAGCTGGAATGAAAGTTCGGGAGGTCACAGATAGCAAACAGGCAAGCATGGCAGCACAGCACAGCACAGGAGTCTCTAACAGGCAAATCCTGGCAGTTGTCCCCAAGACATTAAGCGCTCCTGAATTTTGGCTTGGTGGGGACGGGCTCTGCCTGGGAGCCTTGCAAGGAAAACATTTCCATAAGGTGAAAGAGGACACTCACACCGTGGGTGCAGAGCAGCACAGTCACCGAGTGAGAGGCACGGCACGTGAGACAGCAGACAACTTCCCCACCTGGCTGCTGCACCTCAGAGAGATTTCAGACTCTGCTGGGACATTCACCTCTCAAAACAGAGCTGGACTCAGGTGGTAAAGGCCAGAGGAGCCGTTACAGCCCTCAGGTCTGCCTCCCTGCAGGAGCGAAGTCAAGATAGCGCTGTTGCAAACCTGGCAAACAGGTGTGTGCACAAAGCTGTCTGAACTGCACTCCTGCACCCCAAACCGGTGGTTCTGGAGGAACTTTAAGCAAACACCTGGGTGTTGCCCTGCAAAGAAGGCATCTGTACCTGTTGCCAGCCAGGCCCCAGTAGAGCAGCTTAGGGACAGGCGTGGCTGTCACCACACAGCAATGGGCAAAGAGAGCAGGAGAAAACACCCCTGGCTGCAGGCCATCACATCCGAGCAGTCCCTGATTACATCCCAGGCTCCAAAACCTCACCTGAACAGCGTGAGTGCCACAGAGCTGTGGACACAGGCACTCTGGTTCTGCTGGCACTTCACAGAGGTGTCACTGGCACAAGCAATGGCACTGCCCACCCACCCAGCCCGCCTGGGGCAGGGCTCCTGCCACTGCCAGTGCCTGAGTCACACTGAACTGGAACCATTCATCAGACCCCGTTAATTAGGTGAAGAGCAGATGGGTAATGCTGGATACCAAGCACCTTTTCCATCTCCCACACGACTACGCAATGTGGGAGAGAATATTACTTGGATAATTGAGCCTCATTTCTCATAAGCACTACTGGTATCTAAAGGTAGCCTGCAAAGAATTAGAATAATTAATCTTCTGCTTGTGTGGGTTTTTACGACAGAGAAAGAAGCCCTTGAAGAAGATTTTAAGATGATTTGTCTGCTTATTATTTACCTCAAGCATCCAGCAGGTACTAGACTTCCTGGTCCAACAGAAGGCTGCTGGGAGGAACACGGGAGTTTACTGTGAGCTCCTAATGCTTTCACTGGACTCCAAGGGCTTTCATCATGTAGAAGTGCTCATAAGCAGCAGATCATAAACCAAATGAGTTTTAATTGTCTGCCTAAAGTTCCTCCTTAACAGCTCTTTTTTTTTTTTCCCCCCACATTAATGCTCCAGAGAGAGTTGCATTAGTTCATCAGATGCAAGTGCCCACACAGAGGCAGAAAGGCATTCAGGGAGAAATCTCTCTGGCTTTCATGTGCTTTGAAGCAGCAGGTGCAGTTAAACCTATTTCTTCCATCTCTGGCTAGTCCCCTCCAAAGACGTTTTTTAAGCATCAAATGCCACTTTTATCTTTCCATTTTGGATGCAATCCACCTAGCTAGAAACAGTACTGGCCAAAATCCCTGGATTATCTGCACCAAGAATAAAAAGGACACGTCCCCAATTAGAGAACGCTGCAAAACACAACCCAAAGCTTGTCACGAGTAGCTACAGTCTAAAACCTCTCTTGCTGCCAGGGGGTTACAACATCAACCAAATCGATCCTACGGTGTATAATCAAGATCCCCATCACGAGCAATTCTCCTCTGCTCCCTCCACACAGACTCTCTCGTTCAAAGACCTGCCAGACACATATTGTTGCTCTCCCACCCTGCTCCTTTGGCCATTCATTAGCCTGCCTGCCGAGAACTCACCCATGAAGGACGATGCTGGTGCATCAGGGGTTCGGCCATAGTGTGCCATCAGCTTGTGTTTGGTCTCCTGCTTTCTGTGCTTCTTGCCTACGTAATGCTGTTTTGCCATAAGGGGGTTGTTGAAAGTGGCATGGCAGAGGCTGCAGAACTTGTCTGGGTCAGTAATGTCCTTGTTCTCTTCGTTAGAAGATGCGGTAGAGGTGGGGAGTGTGGCAGGATGTTTCTGCGGGGGCACTGCTTCTGTAGGATGAATCCAAACTCTTGGTCAGTCACAAAACTCAGAGGTAAAAAACAGTAATTTCCCCAAAACTCGTACAGAAGAAAAAAACAACTACCACACCTAAAACTCAAACCTAGGCAGAGAACGTAAGACATCTAGATAAATTCACATTGCTCCTACCTCTTCCCTTAACAGTGTAGAACTGAAAGGTGTGTGGTGAGACAAGTCAGAGTAAGCCAGAAAAACTTTCAGGTTTAAAAACTCAACAGATTTGCATATTTCTGCTTAGCAGACTTAACATAAGTGTGGCTGTATTCAAGACACTGGACATGAATGAGCTTCCACCTGCTACTATCATCACCCAGGAAAAGATGGAGGCAGCCAGAATGTGAGTACAAGCCCCTGTGCGGCAAAGGCAGGTGGGTTTCTGGAAACATTTGATCCTGAACTGAAGTCACAATGAGTTGTACCTGGGAAATAGCATTTATGGGACTAGGTCCGATGGAGTGAGCCCACACAGAGAAGCAGCTCTCCTGTCCAACTGAGAAACCTGCACCCTCTCATTACAGGAAACCAAAGACCACAGCAAGGAACCTTCTAAGGACCAGAGAGCTCCTCTCATGCCGAAACAGAAGCCACGCACCAGACCGTTCATGCGTACATCCACTCCTTCCCGAAGGCTCTTCTCATACCCAAAAGCAAGGGCTTCAAAGAACAGAAACATCCTAGGGGCCACCCTGACCACCAAGGTGGCTTTGCTACACGCACACAATCTAGCAAAGCCCCAAAAACACCCAGAGACAAACAGTTTCTGCCTGTAAGACCCCAGCTCAGAGCCAGCACAAGGTGCCATCCTCATGTGCACCCAGAGGATGCATCTTCCCTCTGTCCTGACCAGCTGCAGCACCCCAGGCTCTCAGCTGCTCCTGCCTGTCCTGCCAGAGGGTCTCCCTCTCCACCCACTGGTCCTCTCCATCTGCTAGCAAAGGGACAGGACACACAGGCATCAGGTCAGACCTGAGCTCTGCCTGGACTGTATCCCATCGTGAGAGCAATGGCAGGTGCCATGGGAAAAGCACGAGGTCAGGGCAAGCACACACTGATGCTTCCCAGCTATACTCTCTCAGTCCCCAGCTATCTGCAGCTCACAAGTCCCAGAAGCTCAGAGGCTACATCTTTGTAGTTGAGCAGCCCTGACACATTTCTCATACAGGAGTTTCATCAGTCATTTCAGTCCCTGTAAGGTTTTAACGAGCATCGTATCCTGTGACAGGCATTTCTACAGCTTAACATCACACTGCCTGAAGATAGATCAGCTCTCTCACAGTCCCTGCACACAGGGATGGGTGCAACGCTCCTGCAAGCTGCATTTCTCCCTGACAAAGCAAAACAAAAAACCACCCAACTTCTAGCCAATGCCAGCCAACAAGCAGGCTGCCGAGAGGCCATGCTCTGGAGCTGCACTGCTGGCTTACTGCGTTTCACAGTAGAGAATACACACAACCTCACAAGAGCTTATACCTGGGGTCAGACAACACCTCTCCACTTTTTGTTTAGCTCGAGCAGCCCCTCAGCACAACACGAAGGTGCTGCAGACAGTCATACCTTCCACTTTGGGGGACTGCTGCTTCATGTTCTTGGCATGAGTCTTGCCCAAGTAGTGAGATGTTGCCACGGCTGGAGAGGAAAAGGTCATGTTGCAGATGGGACAACACTTGTTCCTGTCTTCTCCACTGCTGCCTTCCTGCTTGCTGTCCTGTGCATACAGAATCGCAGAGTGGCGGAGGCTGGGAGGGACCTCTGCGGGTCACCTCATCCAACCTTCTTGTCATGAGAAGAAACACTAAGGCTTGGAGGTCTAAGAAAAGATGGTAATCAGAGACATTTGGGCATTAAGTTGAAGAAGTGTGACTGAGTAGTCACACTGGAGAGTGTTCTTGCACCAGATTACTTTTTTTAATCCGTTAGTGAATGGCTCGAGGCAGAGGGGCAGCCCTGGCCTGTGTGGGTTAAGGACAAGGTTAAGTGTGTAGCTGCCAGAATCGGAACAGGCAGCCTTTTACTCTGCAAGGTGTGAACTGAGCAACACCAACATCGTTATCAGCTGGGTCATCTGCAACCCGATGCCAGCAGAGCAGGCGGCAGCAGTCGTTTCTAACACTTCATGCGAAAGCATCTGCCTCTATCCCCTGCCCCCCCACCACAAATGTTGGAGAGTTGGGGATTAAAGCTGAAGCAATCATAAAAGTATAATCTGTTTCCCAAATGAGTCACAGGGCAGACAGATGACAGTGGGACGTGGTGCCTTTACTGACCACCAGGCTCCAGCTACCAGCCGAAGGAACCTAAATAAGTAAAACCAGGAACGCTCTGAAGGAGAATTCCAGCTGACAGTCAACCCAACGTGCTCTCCACGATAGCAAAGTCACGCAATGATACTCCTGACAAGTTGTGCCTCCTCTTCACTTATCCCTACCCCTGCAAGCAAGACTGTCAACAAAAGGCAATTCAATGGGGCAGACAGGCTCGGGGGGGCTGTCTCAGTGGGAAGGGCTGCAGGAGCTGTGCTCCCCGAGACCAGGCCTGGTGACCCACCTGCCGTGGGGCTCTCTGGTTCTCCCAATGTCCGCTCCATGAGCGTTTTCTTCATGTATTCCCAAAGGAACAGGCCGTACAACAGCCTCCAGCCCCGCAGCTCCCCCGGGCGGCATTTCGGCCTGCTGG